CCTATTGGTGTTCCGTACTGGGACTGGACCAAGCCTTTCACTGCACTGCCGAAACTTTTGGCTGAAGAAACATACGTCGACCCGTACACAACGGAGTCAAAACCAAATCCTTTCTACCAGGCTACCATTGAATTCCTGAAAGCTGATGTTCACACCTCACGTCAAATTGACGACAGGTACGTAAACAAGAACAGAAAAACGAAGAGATTCTTAAAACCAATTAAGGCAAGAAATTAGAAACATAATGTTAGGCACACGGACACAAGTGTAAGGCTTCCACTGAGGATCGAACTCACTACATTGTAGTAGTGTTTAACTAGAGTAATTAGTGAAACATTACTTAATGTCGAGATGTCTTGCTGTTTACTCAGCTAAGACAGTGCGGGGATACTCGACATCAAGATTTATGCAGTAGATAATACGAAACTAATTTGCTAGTCATTATCCCACGTCGAGGAAGTCGGATATTTATTAGGCTTAGTTAAGTCTGACACAGGACCACATGTCTCGGCATACCTATTGATGCCTATAATTATTTAACAAAGTATTGCTCCACAATGAAGAACCCTGCTAATCTTGCTATCTAGCATGTTAACATATAATAATCTAAATCTCCAATGATCAGCTAAATCCCTCCACAAATCAAAAGCAGGACTAGCATTAATATTTACTCAGCTTAACCCAGACGAGCACAAAGAGGGAATCGATTGAAGTCTATAGCTGGACTCGACACCCTGGAGAGTATCCCCAACAAATAAATAGAAAAAGGGGTGTAAATTAAATATGACTATAGATTTAAATGAAGAACATTTATTCAACACAACAAAAGTGAAAAAAAGCAAAAACTGTATATACAAAATGGTATAACATCGAATGTACTTGCAGACATACCATTTGGTAGTAATTAAATAACTAACCTAATAAAATTTAATAATATAATGAATTATCTTTCAAAGCAAGATAGGAGAAAGAAATCTCGGAGGATTGAGCGATGCCCCGTTGTGTCAGGAACATGTGAGCTTCTCAATGATAGAGAAGTCATTGCAGAATCTGCCTTTTTCGTCCGTTCTGATTGAGTGGACTAATTACTTGTGAGGGCTATTTCATTCGCCAAATATATAAATACTAGTTAAGGGAGGATCATGGAACATATCAATCTTCCCCGATATTTTGTCGAACGTTATAATTCCATCATCCTGGGAACAATAGACAGTGAATATGAAAGATATTTATGAATATTTAAGTCGCCAAAAATATCAATACTAGCTGAGGTATGATCTGGGAGGATATTATCAATTTTCTCCGCTCTTTTGTCAAACATTATAATTCCATCATGATGGGGGCGATAGACAGTGAATACGAAAGATATATTATGAACGCCGGCCACGCGAAGTCACACGAACAGGAAATTCGGATTCTCAATTTTTAGGTCACTGCTACATGGAAACTCATCTTTGATATAAGTGCTAGGCACATAACGATGGCGATTTCTTGGATCTTATTTTACTATTACGGGTGAATAGTCCGGAACTGTGAAATATTGCATTGGGTAGATAGGCTAAAACCAGTTTCTGATAGGTTTGACCTCGTGAAGATGGTGTTCAACTTCTAGAAAGTTGTATTGTAAATCCCCTACATTGGTGTAGGATATATTGAACCAGGGATCTACTTTTTTGTGGGGTTGTGTCTCTATTTCTATTTGATAATGCTGTAAACATGATTAGATATATTGAGATTTTGGAACAGGTGAAGATGAAGTAACGACGAAGTCATATCTACAAGTAGTACGTACATCAATTAGCTGGGTTAAAAGGCAATGAGAAGTTCTCCTTCCCCTAAACAACCGGAAATTACTGCACGGTTCAAATCCCATTCACAAAATGGCAGTACATTGGTAATTTTAGTTAACTATCTAGCATTAGTTCACATATGTGGGGATGTCCAATGATCATCTAAGTTACTCCACAAAAGAAAAACCGGACCACCTTTGAATTTTATTAAGCTTAATCTAGATGGGCACAATGTCGCACGTGTAGAAGTTACCCAAGGATATGATCCAATTGTTGGTTATTGCTCGACTTAGTTTATGACGTTCATGTCCGGGTTGATGTCCGTTACCGAGGGTAGGAACAATAGAAGGAAAGAAACCAAAGGAAATACATAGAAGAGAGAGAGAGGGGGGGGAGTTTTCTTTGTCACTCACTTAGTAAAGAGGAAAGTGTATATTTTCGTACGGTGTTGTTACTACTTAATCCTATTACAACATAAACACGAAAAAAAATGTGAACTAAACATGGCCATAAACTGGTCTATATAAAAAAATTATTTAACCTAACAAAAGTAAAAAATATGTGTAGAAAATTATCAAAAATTAAATGTACTTACTAACCATAGTCTAAAAGATTACATTTAACTAAGTCCTAAAGACATAACCACCTTTCGGAGCAAAGCACGAGCTGCTGCTGATGTTTCGTGTGACTGGCAAATCACTACGCAGTGGGAACACCAGACAAGCTCGCGAAGCATTACTCTACGGAAGGTACCGCCAAAAACTTTCTAAAAAAGAGCAGACCGTGATGTAAAAAGGCCCAAACATTATAAAAACAGTTTTATCACCAAAAGTTTGTTTTTAAGAGGAATGACCAAAATATTTTTTGATTATTTTATTAATTTATTAATCCTAATTTTGGTGAAAAATCTTGTTTTTTTGCGTCAACGAATGGTCCAAAGATTAGTATAAGGGATTTTAGCGCCTTTTTTTTGGGGGGGGGCGTTAAAAACATATTGTTTTGAAAATTCTTGCAAAAATCAAATAATTGTCGGATTTTAATTAAATTTTCAGAATTTGTTCATAAATGAATGAAATTTTTTTCTTTTTTTTTCTTTTTAGAAAATCTTGGCGAAAATATGTTTTTGCATGTTACCCCCGCACACAAACACACATACACACTTAGATAATTTTATGAAATTTCGAGAAAGTAAAATTTCAGCTTCTTCATATTTAAATTAGTTAAAAGCAGGACTCCTTGGTAAATTTAAATCATCAATTTGCTTTTATCAAACAGAATTTTGCCGAAAATCAGCTTTAAGTCGTAAAATAAATTATGCAATAAAGGTATCACATTATTTAATTAGAAAATCTTTTTAGTGCTTTTATAAATAGGATATATTAAGGACAGTATTGTCGTACGAAACAAATCGGTGCATAATGAATTTTTATAAGAATTGTTTGCATTTTCTTATTTTAATTAGAAGTTTTAAATCTTTTAAAATTTTGCATTAATTTCAACCTTAAAGATGATATTATTATTAAGTGAAAACTATATTTACTAACCATAAATGGAAAACCTTAATACAAATTATCAAACACCAATATTTTTTAAATAATTTTGAATTTTTTTGCATCTGTATAAACGTGCCGATTTTTGTAAGTACGGGCAACCATACACGATATTATCAGAAAATAAGTTCAGTAACTAGAGTAAATTTAAAATTAACATTAAGTATATTTTTCTAAATTTTTAACCTTAATGAGTACTTAAATTTTTAACCTTAATGAGTACTTAAAAATTATATAAGACGTGAGCTCACGACATTTTCTTCAATTATGTTTTACAGATAAAGTCTCCGTAGAACAACATTAGATCTGTCATCAGCTACTGTCAGGTTAAAAACACAGCTGTTGTCGGATTAAAAAATGCATTTATGCGATATTTTAAGCTTAAAGTAAATAATATTTGTTTCACATCAGATTAATTATCCAGTAAATTAGCTAATATTCCTGAAATAAAGATTTAGACAAGTATATTATATTTTTGGAAGATTTTTTTAATAAAGAAAATTACATTACGATCAAATACGGCTATAAAATGGTGCTAATCAGCTATTTTAACAAAAAAAAAAAAAAAACGCCTTCCAGTCAATTTAAATTAGTTTTTCAAATACAACATATTTTGCGTCTTGGAAATGTCAAATTTAATATATTAGCTTGTAACTAAAACTAAAATAAAAGCTTCAAGAAAGATTTTTCATTTTTAAAAAAAATCGTTTTAAACCTTACGTATCGCTTTTTTTTTTTTTTTTTTTTTTTTTCTTTTTTTTTTTTTTTGAAGGTCCCTACACTCCGGCAACATGCATGCGAATTCATCTTTTAGTTCTTACTGTTATCTTTTATGAAAATTTATTTTAATATCAATTAATAATATTAATTTAATAACTATGATTAATATTAATTAATAACAATATTTCGAAGAGATAACCGAATTGACAAAATAAATTCAATATTCATTGAAATATTTTCTTAAATACTTGAGTAAATTGACATGTATAAGAATTGCTGTAATGCAAATTAAAAAAAGATTTTGATTTATTAAAAACAAAACATAGAAAACTATGTTTTGTTTTTAATAAATCAAAATCTTTTTTTAATGATCGCAATTTGTTGTTGATATAATTTCGTCTAGCTGAAAGTCATTTTTTTTTCAAATTAAAACAGATTATTCAAACAACCAAGCAAAGGCGACCATGGTTTCCTCTTCGATGGACTTTTATTGGCATTCGAACAAGATGATTTCTGTGATTTTGAAGTGCAGTTTGAAGTAACTCACAACGCGATCCATGCATGGACAGGCGGCAGTGAACCGTACTCGATGTCCTCTTTGCATTACACGTCATTTGACCCAATGTTCTGGTTGCACCATTCGCAAGTAGACAGACTCTGGGCTATTTGGCAAGCTCTTCAAATCCAAAGAGGAAAGCCTTACAAAACTTATTGTGCTAATTCTGAAGTTTATCGTCCCATGAAACCATTTGCTTTCGAGGCACCCTTAAATAACAACGAACACACCAGAGAACACTCTGTACCCACTGATGTCTACGATTACCAAGCCGATCTGCATTATACTTACGACACCTTGTTTTTCGGTGGTATGTCTATTCGAGAACTGCAACGACACGTCGAAGAAGCCAAATCAAAAGATCGTGTGTTTGCCGGTTTCCTTCTTATGGGAATCCACACTTCTGCTAATGTGGATCTCTATGTCGTGGCTGGAGGAAATGAATTCTCAGTCGGTTCCATTGCAATTCTTGGAGGCAGCAAGGAGATGAGCTGGAGATTCGACAGGGTTTATAAACATGAAATCACACATGCTTTAGAAGCTCTTGGCGTGGATAAGTTTGCTGAATATACTCTACGCGTAGATATCAAGGACGTCAACGGTACAGCTTTGCCACCGACCACAATCCCTGCACCGATCGTAATTTTTGTACCCGGACACGGTAAAGAATGAATTTACTTTTATTTTCAATAGAGTTTTCTAGTAAATTAAGAATAATTTCCATTAGAGAATAACTCATATTTGTAACATATTTGAATAGTAACGAACACAGATTCCCATTGATATCTTTAATTGCCTAACTGATCTTTACTCTAATGATAATATAAATTGTCTGGTATAAAGTTAAGTACAAAATACTTGATTTTTCTATATAACAAGATACATAAAAACAAAATTATGCTACATTAAATAAAATATACCCCTTTATAATTCTTGGAGTGGGGTCACATATTGTATAACTTGATGAAGATTAATGGACAACTGTAATATCATACTGGAGAGCATCGTACAATCAAGTCTGTAAGACGTATGTCTTATAGGTTTGTTTGGAGAGAAATGTACTAAATGCTACTGATACAGACTTCTTAAACTCAGTATCCAATCTACAATTCCACGATACTGAGTGATGTCATATTTAGCTGCATTCACCCCTATAGAAAACACTTAGGCAAACAAAATTAAATAAGCTTCATGTTGAACAATAAAAGATTTATTTATCAAAATTTAAAGGGATGTAGATTTTATAATCGATTTTACAAAGCTTCTCAAATGTTCAATATGCGCACCACCTGTGATACGATAGTCGGTAATCCAGCTCTTGCCAAAAACGTTGTAGCATGTCTTGCTTAACATTCTCCAGTGTCTTAGTCATTCCCTGCTTAAGTTCCTCTAAGTTTGTAGGAAGAGAGAAGAATATAGTCTTGTCCTTTCACATAGCTCCATAGAAAAACAATCACAAGGTGTCAAGTTAGGTGAACGTGGTGGTCATTTCAACAGTAGATTATTATCACTGGCATGCCTGATCCATCTTCCTGGTAGATTCCCATTGAAATAACACAGTTTTACCACATTTTGTTAAAGTTTGAGATCATCTAAGTGAGAACTTAGGCTTATTAGACTATAAAATGATTTTTGGGGGATACCTGTATATTTTTCTTTTTCTTCATGTTCCTGTAATATTTTTATAAATCTGTTCTTACTGCAATATATTATATGTTCTTACTGCAATTTATATATGTTCAAATTCATATATATATATACACACACACACACACACATATATATATATATATATATATATATATATATATATATATATATATATATATAAATTAATATGAAATGCCAGAAGATGTAAGCTTTTGAATGACCCATGTCCTTTGTACTTACACGAGAAACAATATATTACTAGGTTTATATATATAAAAAATAAAAGTTTACTAAATCAGTGAAATTAAGTAACTATTTTTGCCGTCACTGTCATAAATTTTACTTAAAAAAAAAATGTACCCTAATATACATACTTATACTTGATGTAAAAATAATCCTACATAATATAAGGGATTCTAATACATTTAACTGTTCATAAAAAAATATAGTATAATAAAAATTAAAAATGAGAATATTTCAAATCGTAGTTAAATAAAAAGTATTCTAATCTGAACACCCCCGAAAATCGTTTTCATTGAAAAATACGTCCCTACCCCTTACCAAAATGTAGTTAATAACCGAAAGAATGATACAGACATAAGGAAAACCCAGACACCCCTTGTTCAGTTGAAGTAGATTTATCTGTAACCATGGAAACGTGACTTTAGCTGTGTCTTTAAAACCCAGTAATTTTAAAAGTTACTCCAAAATTTGCTTGAGGATGAAATAGAACTAATGTCTTTAATTTAATTGCAAAATTAAATTTGTGGCTTTTAGCTTCCATTTTTGAAACATGGTTAGAACTGTGTAGCGAAAAAAAAATTTTAAATCAATTAATTTATAATATTAATGCTCTGTAAATTTACATTGAGCACTATTTTGTAAAATAAAAATATCTATAAGAACACCGGATTATATATCTTACTGTTCTTTTTTATATTTATATATATATATATATATATATATATATATATATATATAAAATAGATTGTGCTAGGAGTATTTCTGTCCAACAACTTATGCGAGAGCTCAAGATATTAATCCCAGAAACTCATGTCATATTCTTAAATAGCCTCATCAGATCTAGGCACTCATCTAGCTCACAAAACACTTTATTCATTGATAAAATAAGACACTGTATAACCACTCGTAAGTTTGGTTCTAGAGATTTCAAGCGGCTCTGTAAAAGTCTGATGAACAAGAGTAAATCAATTCCCCCTCAAATTCAATCATTTTGAAGTATTGTCCTCTACTGCCGATAAAGCAGAATGGTTTGCTTGGAAATACTCTTCCGACTCCATTCTTGATTCTTCAGGAGTACCTTTGCGAGATTTTCGCCCTAAACGGAATTTATACTTAGTGATACAACTCCTTCGATGGTTTCTGCTACCACCTCCAACATAGATCTCCACGAGGCTTGTGGATTTAACAGTATCACGTGCTCCTGAACTGGCTCTTGTTCTCTCCAAACTCTACAATAAATTTCTTACCGCTACGGCATTCTAGTTTGTTGGAAATCATCCTCTGCAGTTCCTGTCTAAGAATCTTGGTGAACCTTTTGACCCTTGATAATTATCGCACTATTAGCCTTTTACCTATTCCTGGCAACGTATTAGAAGCTTTAATCACCGCAGAATGAATTAAACATCTTACTTCACACGACATTCTTTCGTATAAACAATATGGATTTTGCTTCTCTCGGCCTATCGCCAATGTGTTAATGTTTATGGCTGATTTTTCGGGCTGTGGCTTTAAATATATCGAAACCGTTATACAGGATTTGGCATGCTAGTCTTCTTCACAAGCCTAAGTTTCTTTTCTCGCACTTCTGGCCTGTGGAAATATCTGCCATTTTCTTGCTTACAATCTTCAAAAATTTAAATGCAACGTTAGCTGCAATCTTCTGTCTTCCCGAATCCTGTTCTTTTATTGTCTATTTTCCTCAAAAAACTTTTGATTATCTTCCACTTTCTGTAACCCCTTTGCGTCTTCGTGGCATTATCGCCTTGAGGTGAAAGTATTAAAAATAAGTGTAAATTATCTTCTATATGAAACCACCTTTCTCAGATCAATGATTAAAACTATCGTCAAGCGAATGAATTCTTTGGGTCCTAAAGAAGAAAATCTTTCAGCAGATGCTATAGACTGGCGCTACAGAATCGCAGAAAAAAAGGCTTTACGAAATAAAACCGCATTACTAGAAAACTTCTATCGGCCACCAAAACTAAAAAAGGCAACACGTGTAAATAGAAGGGAAAATAATGGTATAACCAAATGGTTCATTTTGCGCACTACCTTATGTAAAAGGTTAGAATGGAAACTCAGTACTAGAAAAAGCGATAACAGTAAGTGACTTTTCCTCCCATGAAGAAATAATTTTTCAGAAAAATAAACTTCACATTTAAGTAAGTCAAACCTAATTACGATGAATTAAGATGAACTCCTTTGACTTACAAAGAAAACAACCTCTCACCAATACATCGTTATAATATTTTATTATTAGATATTGTTATAAATCTCTTATATTGTCTAATTTGTAAACGTTTTAATTTTTCCAAATTTATAAATATTTTTATAATTTTCACCGTCGGTGTATACGTATAAACAAAAAGAAAAAGTACCTATGGATACGTACAGAAAGAAAACAGTACCTATCCACTAGGGGTAGTATTGTGACATATCCAAGTTGTGGGGATACTAAACAATTTTCTTAATTTTATTTTGGAATACTTTTAGCAGAAAACACTACCATAATAGAAAATTTAAGATACAATTGATGAGCTAGATCATTGTCCGATATTGATTATATATTTATGGCTTGTATTTCCAGGTGATTTTGATGTCAAATTCGATGAACAACATCGTTCCCGAAAAAATGCGGATAGTATGACCAAGTCTGAAATGGACGATCTTCGAAAGGCCATGGCTGCCTTCGCTGCAGATAAAGCAGTTACCGGTCACCAACAAGTCGCCGCTTTCCATGGATCAACAAAATGGTGCCCTAGTCCAGATGCTGCCCAAAAGTATGCTTGTTGTCATCACGGCATGGCAACTTTCCCACACTGGCATAGATTGATTACTTTGAACTTCGAAAACGGTTTGAGACGAAACGGCTACACTGGTGGTATTCCTTACTGGGATTGGACCCGCCCCATTGAAGCCCTTCCTGCCCTTGTATTGGAAGAACAATACACAGATAGCCATGGAGAGAGTCATCCCAATCCGTTCTATAGCGGCGCTATTGATGAAGCTGGTGCTGCTACAAGTCGGGCACCGTCTGAAAATCTTTATGAAAACCTGAATTTGGAAAGTATACCCAACTGGCTAATGAGATCATTTATGCTCTTGAAAAAGGAAGACTTCTGTGACTTTGAAGTTCAATTTGAGGTAGCCCACAACCACATCCATGCTTTGGTCGGCGGTACAGAAGCTTTCTCTATGTCTTCATTAGAGTACAGTGCATTTGATCCAATCTTCATGCTCCATCACAGTAATGTGGACAGAATCTGGGCTACTTGGCAGGCGTTGCAGAAATTCGAGGAAAACCCTACAATTCGGCCAATTGTGCCATCGAATTGCTTCGTAAACCAATGTCTCCGTTTAGTCTCGCAAGTGATATCAACCCAGATGCAATGACACGAGAACATTCTGTTCCTTTCGATGTTTTTGATTACAAGAAAAATTTCCATTATGAATACGACACTTTAGAACTGAACGGTTTGTCCATTCCACAATTATCTCGAGAAATCAATCGACGAAAGTCCAAGAATCGTGTGTTTATCACTTTCATGTTGGAAGGTCTGAAGAAGTCTTTGCTTGTCGAGTATTACATTAAAGATGATGGATCTGACAATCAAATGAAGGCCGGAGAGTTCTATGTTTTGGGCAGCGAAAATGAAATGCCCTGGGAATTTGACCGCGCTTATAAATCTGACATCACACATGTTATGGACGAAATGAAACTTCATTATACTGACAAATATCACGTTGAATACAAAATCACCGACATGACTGGCGCTGAGGTAACTGACATCAAACTAGAATCGTCAGTGGTCTTCGAACCAGGCCTTGGTGAGTAGTCATATTATTAAGTATATTAATCAATTTAAAGTACACACACACACACACATATATATATATATATATATATATTAAAAAGAAGAGAAGAGAGGTGCCACAAACGTTTTTGGTTGTAATGTGGATTTATTTAGAAAAAATATTATGCTTTGTTTTACATAATTTTACGACACGTGTTTCTGGTCTCGCGACCGTCTTCAGGTAAAAGTGAAGATTTCCACATATTATTAAAAATAATTAATTTTTCCTTATGTTCAATGTTAAATATTCTCGATATGAGACATTCTCTGTTTGTGTGTTGGTAATCCGAATTTCTTTCTTGAATTGGCAATGAAGAGTTCTCAAGGTTATCACTTGTTGGACCAACTTAATTGATGAATATGATTTCAGAACTTTTTTATATAAATATATAACCAAAAATACCTCTCTTCTTTTTATATACATATTTATATATATATATTTATATATATATATATATATTAGAAAATGTATTAAATCCAATATATTTATTAATTAAACGTTATTTTAAATGGTTATTCATGTTTGAGTAGATACTCTGTTTTTATTTATTTATTAAACAATATATATCTATTTATTAATATCTACCGGCCTGAATATTGGAGAAATCTTATTAGAAAAATAGACACTCTCCAGTGGGATTCGAACCTGTGTCCCCCTAAACTCATATAATCATCCAATCATAAATATATTAATCTCTAAAATACTTGAATATTGAATATTTTCAGCCTCTTAAATTAGCCAGATACAAATTATCGCATTGACCAAAAAGCATATTATGTCCTTCAAAACTCTTCCACTTCGGCTAAATTTAACAGACAGATTTCGATATTCAAATGTGATATTTAACTTTACCGATTTTGTCACAACATTTTTCTCAAAGAAAACAATTTTTAATCTTTTTCGAGGGTTGCTGAAATGCTTTTGTCCCGATCAAGAAAAGTGTTCTAAAATTATTGTTGGTCAGATTTATCGAAGTGGGCCTGATTGATAAGTTTTCAGTACCTCTTAGAATATATATAACTCCATCTAGTATATATATATATATATATATATATATATATATATATATATATATATATATATATATATATATATATATATATATATATATATATATATATTTTTCGGCTAAATGAAAAATTAAATTAACTGTATTGGAAGATAATATTTTCCTATATCAAAGAGTATAAAAAATCAAGTCCTTCAGTAAAAAAACGTTTTGTTTAACAAATTAATTATTTAATATGCATTTTTTTTATTACTTCAGGTCATTTTGGAGAGGGCAGGCGTTGGATCAGCCCTGTTACAAGCGCAAGTCACATCAGAAAGAATTTGGAAGAATTAAGTGATGGTGAAATGGAATCATTAAGAAATGCCTTTAAACAAATGGAAAAGGAAGGAAGATATGAAGAAATCGCTGCCTTCCACGGTGTCCCTGCTCAGTGTCCAAATGAAGATGGCACAATGGTGCATACATGCTGCCTTCATGGAATGCCAATATTCCCCCACTGGCATCGTCTCTATGTTGCTCTTGTAGAAGATGAGTTATTGGCCCGAGGATCCGGAGTTTTTTGCCATATTGGGATTGGGTCGAGCCGTTCGATGAACTTCCACGTTTAATCAATGAAGCAACCTTCTATAATTCCTGTACCCTTAAGATTGAGCCGAATCCTTTCTTCAATGGCAAGATTAGCTTTGAGAATACGGAAACAGATCGAGATCCCCAACCAGATTTATTTGGCAATTCATATTTATACGATCACACGTTGTTCGTTTTCGAACAGACAGATTTCTGCGAGTTTGAAGTTCATTTCGAGGTTCTTCATAACACCATTCATTCTTAAATTAGGAGGAAGAGATGCTCATTCAATGTCGTCTCTTGATTATGCCGCCTATGATCCCGTGTTCTTCCTTCATCATAGCAACGTTGATCGTTTGTGGGCCATTTGGCAAGAGCTTCAGCGTTATCGTAAGTTATCATACAATGAGGCCAATTGTGCATTGCCACTTCTCAACGAACCGATGCGTCCTTTTAGTAACAAAACTGCCAACCAAGACCGGTTAACATTCACCAACAGTAGACCCAATGATGTCTTTGACTATCAGAACGTCTTGCATTACAAGTATGATACCCTTTCTTTTGCCGGTCTCAGCATTCCACAACTGGAAAGAATCTTAGAAAAGAACAAAGGACATGACCGAATTTTTGCAGGATTTTTGCTACATGGTATCAAAGCTTCTGCTGACGTCCGCATCTACATCTGTGTACCGACTGGTGTAGGGGAAGAGAATTGTGCCAATTACGCTGGTATCTTCTCCGTTCTGGGAGGAGAAACTGAAATGCCGTGGAGGTTCGATCGTCTCTTCCGATACGAAATCACAAGTGAATTAAAGAAATTGGGTCTTAATCACAACAGTCACTTCCGCGTCGCAATGGAAGTAACCGCTGTCAATGGATCTAGGATCACGCAAAAGGTTTTCCCTAATCCGACAATTGTCTTTGTCCCCAGCCAGGGTAAGAATACTTTTGCGAAATATATAATAATCTATCTTGTCGCTTTCCCTTTCATTTCTGCCCGGACACCTAAATAATACATTGAGAGCGGTGTGTCAAAAGAATGTTTTTTTTTTCGTTGACATCGTTATTATTTTAACTACCTTAATTCTTCGGCAATGTTTATTGCTTTAAAAATGCTGATTAGAATTGCAATAAAGGGTAATTTAGACATTTTTGTTCTTGAGATTTCACAACAAAATATATTAAACACTATTTATTAGATTGTTTATTTACAAGAATAATCTTATATTTGCTACATTCTAAAAACTAATACAATTAAAACTAATACAATGCAATATTTATCATTTACCAGTTTATAAAGGAATAAATATAAAAACAATTTTTATTTATAAATTTATAAAGAGTTACTAAATTATTAAAATATGGGAACCAACTATATGGAAAACCTTATTATTTAACATTTAAAATTTGAATTAATTGGCAATTAGTCAATATTTTGTTTAGCATTCCAATAAACAATATAAGTAGATATTATAAGTAAACAATAGTGTTAATTATGTTTGCTGTCAATACTTACGAACAAAGGAAATGTATAAATTCACTTTCATCGTAGGTTTAGGTTTTATTACAATTCTAATCATCGCTTTTTAAAACACTAAATATTGCCGAGGAGAGAAGGTAGTTAAAATAATAGTGGTTTCAATGGAAAAACCGTCCATTTGATACTACGTTTTTGTTTTCGGGCACGAAAGTCCAACTTTGCCGAAATCTCTTTCTCTTTATATACAAGGTATCCCGAAAACATGTAGTCACTTTTTAACTTCGTCGACAGTTTGAATATTTATAAACCGTTAATCTTCTTTGTAAGTCAATAAACATTAATATTTATTAATTGTAACAATTAATCTTATTTGCAAGTCAATTCTACAGTCATTCTATTGGGTGTCCCAAAAAATGTACTCACTCTTAAATGACAATGGAAGCAGTGTTTATTGACTTACAAACAAGATTAATTGTTACAATCAATAAATATTAATGTTTATTGACTTACAAAAAAGATTAACGGTTTAAATGCATGTTTCTAAATATTTAAACTGGTGACGAAGTTAAAAAGTGACTACATGTTTTCTGGATATCATGTATATAAAGAGAAAAAAAATTCGGCAAAGTTGGACTCCTGTGCCCGAAAAATACGTAATGTCAAAAGGACGGTTTTTCCATTGACACCGCTATTATTTTAACTACCTTCTCCCCTCGCCAATGTTTATCAAAAAAAAAATGATTAGAATGATAGATATATATATATATATATATATATATATATATATATATAATGTTAAGGTATGCTATATTTATGGGTTAAAGTGTTCAATATCAGGGATATAGCGTATGTAAACATAAACGTGGACATGGAAGTAAACACAGAGAGGTAACAGTTTGTTTCATGTTAAACGCAATCGCCAGATATCTGACCTAACGATTGCGTTTAGCATGAAACAGACTGTCGCCTCTCTATGTTGACTTCAATTTCTCCTTTTATATTATATATATATGTGTGTGTGTGTGTGTGTGTGTGTGTGTGTGTGTAATGAATAACAGGGCTGAAACCTTTCTTTCAAACATGTTTCATTAAAAATGAAGAACAAGAAAAATTTGTTGAATTTTTTATTTAGATTTTTTTTATAGTCTTACAATTTTCCGTTTAGTAAGAATAAGGGAATGTAAAAATTCTCCGTAGTATCTATTGCCCCAAACACTTGTTTAACCATTTTTAGAGAGGTTATTGTTCTGTGTTGTTAATTTCTTTTCATGGCGGTCTGTTTAAGATGTAGCTTCGTGATGGCTATATAGTAGTCACATTTATTCTGACCCCCGCGAAAGGAACGTGGCTGGAACTCGAATTGGCGTCTTTCTATGTTAAAAAAAATTTAACACATTATTTCCGCTGATAAAGAAGGTGGAATTTATAAAGTGTGGCAGATGTATAATGTAGAGAGCTTCTCTGTCAGTGAGATGTTTTCGGTCACGGAAAAATATATTAGAAAAAACTATGTCTATATATATATATATATATATATATATATATATATATATATATATATATATATATATATATATATATATAAAAAACTATAAATATATATATATAATATTAGAATAATATATATATATATATATATATATATATATATATATAGAGAGAGAGAGAGGGGGGGTCTGAAATTCATAAAATAGCTTGCTTTACATATTATAGCTTAAATAATTAAAGTGCTGTTCATTAATTCAAACCAAGTTTTCATACATTTCCTTACATGAATGAAATATTCTTATCCCGTTTTTAACACAACACAAACTTTATAATAAATATCCTTGCAGATATCAATATTCTAAAAGCAATGAAGCTTCTTCGATCAAGAAAGTTGCGAAAATAGAATTTAGTGCTATTTATTTTATTTGATTGTTAAAAAATTAAAAACAGCTGAACCAACTACAATACAATCTTTATTATTTATCATATTACAAAGGAATAAATATGAAAACATTTTTATTCATAAATTTATAAAAATGTTTATGAACAAGAGAAAAAAAATTAAATAAACACATAAACGATGACTTACTGAAATTATGAATTTAGAAAAAATGCATTTTCAGAATATTTTTTATATTTGCTTTCGCCACACATATTCACTAAAATCTCCAGCTATGGGTAAAATATCAGGACAGACTCGGTCCTATAACTTTGGTTGGCAACCAGTCTAGGAAAAGGAAAACTTTGAATTCAAACCAACTGTTGCCTTATAGCTCTCCTTCTCTAAATTCTAAGAGGATGGGCAGTATAACCTCAACATCTCCGGCCCAAAAGGAACAGGCATTGCACTATTCTACCTTGAATGTTACCTTGAACCATAATGTTGAGATGGAGGGGAGTGGTGACCAAAGCGGCGGCGCAAAATGCGGTAACTGAATAAATGTATGATTCTCTAAAATATATTGTGAGCACCTGAATTTGCATTTTTATTTTATTGAAATTTTATTGTTATTTTATTTTGTTAGAAATTTGAACACTGTTTATTCATTAGCTTGTTTATTTACAAGTGGTTGATACTTTTATACGTCCTGGGTATGAGGATAAACTACATCCAGCAGCAAGGTCTCTGATCAGGAGATTTTGAGGGACGTGGAACCACCTCTTAATTGCTGTTAGTTCAAGGCCCACCCTGACCCGGGGTAGAAGCACCTTTTAAGATCCAAGCTATGGGCAAATACTTAACGCCCAAACATGTGTCAAAACACTATGAAAGTATCAAAATAGATTTTTATAGTAAAAATACCAGAAATACATTTTTGAAAAAAATACCAGTAGTACATTTGACTTGCGACAAAAACCTTCTTTACAAAAATACTTCACTGGAACCTTATCTACAAACTGATTTTTTACAAATGCATATTTTATTTATACAAACCTGTCTTAAAAAATCTTGCCAGCATTAAATAACACATTGAGGTTAATATGCCGTAAAACAAAATAAACAGAATCAACCAATACTTTTGTTGTCAATTCTTCGGATAAAAGAGAATTAATAAATATAGTTTCACATGTTTAGATTCTATTAAAATTCTCAAAGTAACTTTTTAAATCAGGAATTTTTGCCGAAAAAGTATAAATAGATCTATCGATAGAAAAATCGTCCCAACATTTTTTTTTCGGTTTTCTATGTTAAACTTTACTGAAAATTGTAAATTAATATTTTATTACTGTATATTTATATGTTAAAGTAATAAAAAAAATCATTTTCGTCTAAGATCATAAGTGTTATTTGCTTACACTACCATATTTTCCGACAAACACCTCTGCTAGTTACCTGATTACCCAGTCGGCATAGATAACGAATATGTACCCCAAAATTAATTTCATAACATTATTGTATTAAATGAAAATGTGGTGTCTTATATACTATAAGATACGCTAGATGTGTGGTCTTTTTTTTAAATATTTGCATTGCTTCTTCAAACTGTGAACAAAGTTTTTTGTACAGTGTATAACTTTTATTAAATCATCTTTCTTATTCTTTTTACAGGTGAATTTAAAGAGGGCGGCTGGAGCAATGTTGTCACTAGCGCCAAACGTATCAGAAAGAACCTAAAGCATATTTCCGCAGATGAGATGTTATCTCTAAGAACCGCCTTCAAGCGCATGACAGATGATGGAAGATACGAAGAGATTGCCGCTTTCCATGGTCTACCAGCTCAGTGCCCTAACGCTGATGGTACGATGGTGCACACGTGTTGTCTGCACGGTATGCCGACCTTCCCACATTGGCATCGACTTTATCTATCTTTGGTCGAAAATGAACTGCAGGCTAGAGGCTCAGCTTTGTCGGTACCTTACTGGGACTGGATTGAACCTTTTGATGAACTTCCCAGTTTGATAAATGACCAAACGTTCAGAAATCCGGAAAATAACCAAATGATCGCAAATCCTTTCTTCAAAGGAGCAATCTCGTTCGAAAATTCCGAAACGACTCGAAATCCGAAACCTGAGCTATTCGGCAACACACATTTTTTCGATTATACTTTACTTGCGTTTGAACAGACTGACTTCTGTGATTTCGAAGTACAGTTTGAAGTCCTTCACAACTCCATTCACTCGTGGCTGGGCGGGCCAAATACCCAATCGATGTCTTCACTCGACTACACCGCTTACGATCCTGTCTTCTTTCTGCATCACAGTAACTGCGATCGACTGTGGGCCATTTGGCAAGAACTACAGCGCTATAGAAAATTAGATTATAATGTTGCTAATTGCGCTCTTCATCTGCTTAGCAAACCGATGCGTCCGTTCAGCAATAGTACGGCTAACCAAGATAAATTAACCCACACTCACAGCAAACCCAATGACGTGTTCGACTATCAAAACAACCTGAACTATAAATACGATACGCTTTCTTTTTCGGATATGAATATTATCCAATTAGAGACCTTGCTTGAGAGTCGCAAATCACGCGACCGAGTTTTCGCTGGTTTCATGCTTCATGGTGTGAAGGCGTCAGCAGATGTCCGCATTTACATCTGTGTGCCAACTGGCGTTGTTCTCGAAAACTGTCACAACTATGCCGGCGTCTTCTCTATTCTGGGTGGAGAGACAGAAATGCCTTGGAAGTTCGATCGTGTCTACCGTTATGAACTCACAGACGAAATAAATAAACTCGGGCTTAGTGCCAACAGTCAGTTCCGAATTTCTACTGAAGTTACAGCTGTAAATGGTTCTAAAATTCTACAGAAAATCTTCCCTACGCCTTCTGTTATTTTCGTTCCGGCCCAAGGTAATTAAAAAGTGTTACTATTTTGTCATTATTTATTATTTTCTGATTGTAGCGCCTACTAAGTCTTCAGAGAGAAAACAATGTAATAAGATTGTTCAAGTTATTTTACAGAACGTACTTTTATTTTACGGTTTGTGTGGGTTATATATATATGGATATATATGAAAGTCCCTTATGTATACAATATATATCTATTTCAAAAATGTTTCATTGAATAATATAGACACAGTGTGCCTACTTATTTTTATCCTGATCCTTTCCAGTTGTTTAATAATTTCTTTATGTGAAGATGAAATTCATCAAGGAAGGCACCGTAGTTTTTTTTTGTTTTTTTAACCCAAGAACTTTCGACGTTTTCTAAGATTATCTTCAGGGGTAAATTACAAGGACAATCATGGGGTTGCAACTGCGATAAAATCTTTATTCCGTATTAATGATTTTTAAAAACAGGCGCGAACGTTAAAGTTATTTTAGAATTTTTAAATTTTATCCGTTGTAGTTATGTATTTTTTTTTTACAAAGCATGTATTTCAATATAAATATCTTGACCGAGAATTGTCCAAAATGTAAAATGGTATTAGTATATAAATGTTATATGCAGCTTAATATGTTGCTGCTATATTAATATGTTTGTTTAGTGTCGATTGGTTGAATTTGATATAGAGGGCCTCGAGAATTTGAAGGTTTTGTTTATTATTTTCATGATGTAGTATATTGGTATTGTCAACGAGTATTTTCTTGTATTGTGAAGGTGACACACACACACACACACACACACACACACACACACACATATATATATATATATATATATATATATATATATATATATATATATATATATATATAGTTTATGCAAAACTAGGTAATCCGTATGGGTAGACCTAAGGAGGATGATATCCGGAGAGCTCAATGTGAATTCAGAGCAAATATGCTTGAATAAAAAAACAGACCACTTTAAGGTTCCATGTAATAAATTATTTCATCACAGCCCTTTTAAAGGGCTCTGGATCCTTTAAAAGGACTGTGTATGTTTTTTTATTCAAACAAATATATATATATATATATATATATATATATATATCCGCTTGCCATCAGCATGGCTGATGCTAAACTTCAGGAGAGCATCACTCTCTTCTTGGGCTCTCCACTGACATAAAGTTGAGCTACTACATTGAATCAATTGCTACGTCTACGACTAGAAAAGTTGGTTCACTGTGTCGTTCCAGAAAGTCTCTTGCGCATTTACCATTCGTCCGTGCATTGAATACTGCTGCTATATCTGGTTTGGTGCTCCTGCTAATTATCTCGAGATTCTTGACAAAATACAAAGAAGGGGGGGGGGGCTCTACTGTAATCGATCTTCAGTTGACATCTCGACTTCTGTCACTTTCTCACCTACGTGACTTAGCTTCCCTCTGTCTTTACTGCAAATATTTTCATGACAACTGTTCTGGTGAGTCTTTTCCCCTGGTGCCTCGACTACATGAATTTATGTGTGCTACTTGATGGGCAACTAGGTCTCACCGTTTTTCTCACCTGTAGAACTCCTTTCTGATTTCTTGCTTTCGTACATCCTAGTATCCTATTTTACAAACATTCGGTGGAAGTAACCTTTTCATTATTTTAAACCACTGGCGATTTTCACTAAGGAAGATCATACGTCTTTTGCTTTTGAAACAGGAAACAGTCAATTTTCTCTAACGAAGAAATATATGTTTTTATTTTCCAATTAGAAGTAAATCACGCGCAGCGACATGTGTTCATCACACTGTCATCAGTGATGATATTATACCAAGAGGTCGTTTTATAATTATAGAAAAATCTCCCCCCACCACCAAAAAAAAAATAACTTTTACCCATTTGTAAGATATATGCTTACGGATATGGTCTTCTGTAGTGAAAATAACTAAGATACCTTGTACGGAAAATCACCTTGAATATTTTAGTATTACAGTCCACCTTGTCATGAGTGATAGATCATGATGCCCACTGCTCGAAAAAGGTTGACTATGCCTGCTCTAAAAGTGTATATCATAAGAGCTTTAGTGCCGAAATATGTGAGATTATTTTGTACTTGTTTAACAACGAGGACTGATTTGAGATTAATTTGCAAAGAATTTCAAGAAACTGATACTAATATGGCATTTTGTTTGGATTAAAAACAGAACGAACTGCAGAACTACTTAAACATATTTTTTTCTTTTCGATGATTTCATGATTTGAGTTAAAATATTGATTGTTAGTTTCGATCTTTCATAAAGAGAAATTTGATAATTCTTTTTCATTTTTTTTACAGAAGCCACTAGGAGAGGTTCGGCATCAAAATCCGTCCGAGGTAATTTGGTCCGAAAGAATGTTGATCGTTTATCTCTGCAAGAAATAAACTCTTTGGTGCACGCCTTCAAACGTATGCAAAAAGATAGATCTTCTGATGGCTTTGAATCGATTGCTTCCTTCCATGCTCTTCCTCCACTCTGCCCGAACCCGACCGCTAAACATCGCTATGCTTGCTGTCTTCACGGTATGGCTACTTTCCCACAATGGCACAGGTTGTATGTTGTCCAATTTGAACAATCACTGAACAGGCACGGGGCCACAGTCGGTGTGCCATATTGGGATTGGACATATCCTATGAAGGAGATTCCTCACTTACTGACGTCTGAGAAGTACACTGATCCCTTTACCGGTGTGGAAACGTTTAACCCATTCAACCACGGTCACCTTTCCTTTATCAGCCCCGAGACAATGACAGCACGTGATGTCAGTTCGCATCTATTTGAACAGCCTGCACTTGGAAAACAGACCTGGCTCTTTAACAATATCCTTCTAGCACTGGAACAAACCGATTATTGTGACTTCGAAGTTCAATTTGAAATTGTTCATAATGCCATCCATTCTTGGTTGGGTGGAAAAGAACTTTACTCATTAAACCATTTGCACTACGCTTCCTATGACCCAGCTTTCTACCTCCATCATTCCAATGTTGATCGTCTTTGGGTAATCTGGCAGGAATTACAGAAATTCCGTGGTCTTCCAGCTTATGAGTCGAATTGCGCTATTGAATTGATGTCTCAACCTTTGAAGCCTTCTTTCGGACCTCCTTATAATTTGAATCCAGTGACAACCAAATATTCCAAGCCGTCCGATGTGTTCAATTACAAAGAGCACTATCATTATGAATACGACATGTTAGAAATGAATGGAATGTCTATTGCACAACTGGAGTCTTACATTCGACAAGAGAAACAAAAAGATCGCGTTTTTGCTGGATTTTTACTTGAAGGATTTGGCAGTTCTGCCTACGCTACATTCGAAGTATGTATCAGCTTTTGAAAATTTCTTTTTATGCACTGATATCTTAAAACGAAAAGTTACCCTAAATAATATATGATTTAAAGAAGTATCTTTATTTTTTGTTATCTTTATTACCGTATCTTATTAATGTTTGCTTCGCCATTATGTTATTTTTTCTATCTTATAAAAGGAACATTATATTTTAGCAAAGTCAAAGTCGTAGTGCTAAAAGTTTGTACTCGTTAAATCTTTCGAACAAAACTGGTAGATGTTTGCTTCTTTTTCTCAGTGAATTAACTTGACGGTGACCCCCTCACACACACACACTTGATATGGAATAGTTTAACGACCAAATGTAGTCCTACTGATGACTCGTTTCTGGGCACAACCGTTTGCTTGGGCAGCTAGCCAATCCTTCTTGCAGACGTATGCTCAGACACATTCGTGACTGTTCGACATTCTCAGAACCTATCTGTGATTTACACTAAGCGGACCATAGTTACTGGGAGAGAGCGCATATCCTGGCCTGATGAATAGTTTGTACCGCGTTAATACGCTCAAACACTCGGTCACAAGGACTTGTTATTTGGGGCTAGCACAACTAACGAGGGCTTCTGAAGAATCCCGTCTAATTTTTCTTACAAATCGTGGGTTAATCTATGGTATGATTTTCAGATATTTCCTAACAGTTCCTCCTGCTGGCTCGCCCCCAACAAGCCAATAATATGAAGAAGCTACCTTCCTGAAATGGTGAAATTCGAACACGGGTTTCATGGTCCCAAAGCGAATTTTTAACCACTCGTCTACACGAACATTTTACTTAGTAAATGCGTAAACGGAAATCTTGTCAAATAGTAATTGATACCAAGTTAGGTTCACAGACTGGTACTACTGTCGTGAGTACGTTACTCATTGTCTGCCACACAATTATAGCCTTTTGCCGAACTTAGCTGAGCTTAGTAAATATCTAAGTACGAATTAATTAGTAAAACAGTGGACATACTTAATCTTGGAACTTCAAAAATGAGCTCCTTGCTTTAAAATTTCTAGATTTTACGACAACTTTTCTGCTTCGAATTTATTTCGAAATTTTAAAATTTGAGACAAATATACTTTTTATATCTCTTTATATTTCGAAGATGTGATATTGTAACTATTTAAACTATTTACATTGTTCAGACTGTCATCCTCATTTTTATTGTCATATACGACGTTTGAATTGTTGTACGCTTCGGCCTTCTTCATATGATATACGTTGGAATTTTCGAATCGACCCTTTATTTTATCCATCGGGCTAGATTGTTTTTGTTCCACATGCCATGTCTTTTCTTGGCATGTCAGTTTCAGTTATTTCCCTTTCGTAACTCAACTCTCCAAACTTTTGTTTACCTCTGCTGTGGCCAGATATTGATCTAACAACTCCTTGGATCAAGTCACTGGATTGCCAGTTTCTTAAGTTCAGTAGCCCTACACAGATGACAGTTTAAAATGTGAGAGGTATTTCTGTCACACATTATATAAGGAAAGTGTCCAGCATTCACTGTCATATAGGGGGATTATATTATTTAGGAATTCAATTTTTTCTTAGTACTTTATTTAGCTTTTGGGAGGCTTATTTTCCAATACGTCTTCAAGTATTTGTCACATTTTCTATCATCTGTTAGTTTGATACTGTTAATACTTTGCAGATTGTTAAATTTTTCTACTTTATTTTAACGATTTTTATTCGTAGTTGTCACGTTTGTTAATATTCCGTCTTACAACTAATAATCCATTCTTCTCACTTTCATGAAATCCCTTGTTCCTGTGTATCTTATGTTGTAAAGATTATAACTGGCAATAAATCCTGGCAGAAGAGATAGTTCTTTTTGGATTGGCATGCTGTGTAGGTTAAATAAATCCGGTGCGAAGCAGCATTTTCGTCATATGCCCCTTTATATTTTTGTAACTCTTTCAATTTATTTTCTTTCCGTATGCTGACTGACTGTTCTCAGCTGTAAATACAGAAATTAGTTTCTTGCGATAAAGAGGTGGTCCTTGATTTAATACCAAAAACAATTACTACTGTAGTGCGATCGAACCTCATGTGATACTCCTAAACTTTGATTTGGTGTCAGTCTAACTTACACTCAGAAAATACTTTGATCAACAGCCTAACTTTAGAGTTTGAAAATTTATAACTAATGACGAAACTTCAGAAAATTGTTTCGCTTTCTACGACTTATCAATCTTTATTATTTAAAGCCAAAGAATGTTTTAGATTGTAAGAATTTTTGTCTTAGATAATAATGATTTGTAAAGTCTTACTAATTAACTCATAGTTAAGGGTTGAAGAGGTGGATTCATGCTTTTCTCAGTGGTATTTTGCGTGTAAGTGAATATGACGTACCCAAAGAGAATTGGAACTCGACTCTCTGATTAACAATTACATCACACCGTATCCAAGGTTATAGTACCTTGTATTCCCAAATAGTCACACATCTTGGTACTGACCAAGCTTGATCGTGGCCGTAAGCGAAACATCAAAAGAGACTGCATTCTTGATGTTGTAAGTAGGTAATAATAATAATAATAATATTAATAACAATAATAATAATAATAATAACGTTAATAATAATCTTTGTCATCGATCCTGCACCAGACTCGGCTCTCCTAACTTCTTTGGCTGATTGATTTTGTTTAGTAGCATATAATCCTCTGTGGGTTATTAAATATCAAAATCTAAACATTTTGAAAACAGTTGTAGACCTCCAACTACAGATAAAATGTATTGTCCACCATTTTGTTATGACATGTATTGTTGATAATTCTACTATAAAAGGTATTGCTGGTTATTTGGCTAAAAAATTATATTGTTAGTATTTTTTCTATAAATATGTATTATTGGTAATCTTTTTGTCTAAATATGTATTTTTATGCTTTCATACTGTTTTTGTTGGAGGTCGCTATTTTGCCATAGCTGGGACCCTAACTGATGCTATCACCCCGGGTCAGGTTGGACCTGGGAACGACAGCAATTAAGAAATGATTCCACGTTCCTCAAACCGGATGTAGTTTATCGTCATACCTAGGGTGACTCATAACTTCTGTTTATAATTTATTAGAAGTGTTAAACATATACCTGTTGTGTTTTGTTGGATTAAATTGAGCAACAGTAAATCTCTCGTTCAGTACCAAAGATTTGGTTGCCGGCTACCCGACATTAAGCAATGGGAAACGTCTCTTAAAGGCATTGTGCATCATTGTTCATGAGCGGAAGTAGTGTAGAATCATCAAGATCGGATGCTGTGTTATAGTTTTATTTTAATTTTGAATGATGAGGCAGCCAAGGAAAATCGTAAATCAAATTTAGATATGAGATCTGATAAAAAATGTATCGGGAGACTGTTGCTAAGGTAACAGAGCTAAAGTATGCAGAACGAAGTCGCTTGACCGTTTATGGCAGTGCTTGGAAGGAAAGTGTGTAGAGTGTGGTTGTCTCACCACAACACAAAAGTCGCATGAATGACCATGACTTGTGCAGCATTTTTTGCAATGCACATTACCCAGCGAATGCGAAGTGGCAGCTACTTACTATCCCGAAAAGTATAATATGTCCTTATAAAACTGGTTGTAATGATGAATATATTGCGCTTTGTACAGCTGTGAACCGGTATCACTTAGTTGGCGTACTGCTCTCTTCCTAAAGAACAAGAGAAAGAAAGATAAAGCCTTGCTGTTATATAAATAATATCAGAACAAGAAGAGTTAAAATATAGTTTTAAAACTGAATGATTTAACTTGAATTACAATTTTGTAAAGTTTCGTGTGATGATTTTTTATTCAGATTTGCCCAGACACAGGTGATTGTCATGAAGGAAGTCATTTCTCTGTGTTGGGTGGAAGCGCTGAAATGCCTTGGGCTTTTGATCGTCTCTACAAAATGGAAATAACGAACATTCTACGAGATATGAAGTTGAATTTTGATTCTCACTTCACCATCAAAACAAAGGTCGTCGCTCAGAATGGAACCGAATTGTCTGAAAACCTATTACCAGAAGCAACCATCATCCGGATCCCACCATCGGGTAAATAGTCACTTTCTTCAAATATATTTTATTCCCTTCTCAGTGACTGCGATATTATATACTTCATATCGATGTTAATCTTACGATGATAGATCATAGCTGATCTTCCTGGGCAGTTCAAATTCCTTTTCTGAGCCCGTATAGCGATTCAGAGTTCGAGTTAGAGATCTGTAGTTTTAAGGCTGAGTTCCTGATCAAACAGGGTTTCTTTTTTACGTCTATAAGCCTGTGTGGTGGCTGGGGCCATAACACCGATGCCAGCGTTTGAGCGTCGGATATCGAGGGTCAAATCTCAAAGCAAGCAGGTTTTTCCACTTCTAGTGTGTGACACTGCATATATAAAATTCTCTCTCCCTCTAAGTACACACACACATGCATATATATATATTATTTTATATGCGCAGTACTTAGTGGAAAGCACTCAATATCAGTGATAGAGCTAACATTTTCAGTTGTATTGATATGAGTTTGTATGGAGAAGTGTGCGTGTGTGTATGTATGTGCGTGTTTACTTTTTCATCAATTTTCTTTATTTTACAGATTTATGAAAAATATGAATACATAATCCTCTTTTTCTATATAAATTTCTAATTTTGTTTTTCAAAGCTCGTAAAATCCAAACAACACATGTAGTCTCTGGAGTTTAACGCGTTTAGCATTGAGCAGATTTTTGTGAACAAAATGTTCTCAATATTAAAATTAGAGCAACAATAGTCTGTAACCATAGCCTACCGTTAGATTTGCAAAACAAGAAATCGACCCCACGTTGAATTTCGTTGTTTTTGGGTTTTTTTTTAAGATGTAGTGTCGGTGTTAGCCGAAGCTGCCAAGGTTGGGTTATGCATCCAAGCGGATGAATTCGGGGAATGATTCACTTGGACACACCAAAGATAACAACAACCAATGTTTGCGTGGAGAATCCATTAATAATTTTTTTTTTGGTGGGTGGGTGACGATGCATATAACACTGTGGCTCGACGTGGTAACCGGCGGGCACTGTGTACCAGCATGACAACACTTTCTGTACAGACGAAGATCACTGCCTTCTTCACACAAGTCTTCTCTTATATAACTATAGTCGCACAGCATAAACAATCGCTGTATTATCCGCAGATTAAAATAGACTCAACTCTACTTCAATTAATTTGGGGACATAATGACAATGTCTCATCCTAGCCAGCCATACAGTGTTCATGTCAACTGATAAAGAAAATGCAAAATCTTTAAAACTTTTCTTTACACACACACACACACACACACACACACACACACACACACATATATATATATATATATATATATATATATATATATATATATATATATATATATATCTTTGTGTGTGTTTGTGAGTATACATCTTACGATATTTATCTTTATATTTTTTCTTTTTTTTCTTTTCGCACAGCGCATGAACTTGAAGTGGCGATCCCATTAAATCGAATTAGACGAGATATCAATTCTTTGGAAACTCGAGATGTTCAGAATCTCATGTCGGCATTGAAACGTCTGAAGGACGATGAAAGCGATTTCGGCTTCAAACAATTGCCAGTTACCATGGTTCCTTGATGTGCCCAACACCTGACGCACCCCAATACGCTTGCTGTCTACACGGTATGCCGACTTTCCCACACTGGCACAGAGTCTATCTGCTCCACTTTGAAGAAGCTATGCGTCGTCATGGAGCCAGTGTAGCTATTCCCTACTGGGATTGGACTATAGCGTCGAATCATTTGCCTTCTTTTTTGGGAGATGCTGATTACTACGATGCTTGGACAGATTCTGTAATTGAGAATCCTTTTCTTGCGAGGTTATGTCAAACAAGAAGATACCTACACCGTACGAGACACTCAAGCTGAGTTGTTTGAATTGTCGGAAGGTGGCAAAGAATCTACACTTTTCAAGAAAGCCATGTTGATGTTTGAACAAGAAGACTATTGTGATTTTGAAGTGCAATTTGAAGTGATTCACAATTCTATTCATTATCTTATCGGTGGTCACCAGAAATATGCCATGTCCAGTTTGGTTTACTCTTCCTTTGATCCGATATTCTACGTTCACCATTCAATGGTAAGTAAACTTACCTATGTAGATAGGAAAGCTTTCTGAAGCTTTCATTTCAAACTCTTCTACCAAACTCTTCCGACAATAATCTGAGAGTTCATTTCAAATAAATAGAGTTCATTTCAAATAAAAGATCTTGCTTGGTTTAGTTGAGCTGATAATAAATTGCACATAAAAACAAAATTACAGAGTGGGTCCTTGTTAATATTAGAAAAACAGGAAACAACGTTTCCTGCTTTTAAATGAAAAGTTGAGGTAATTATTATCACACATTCGTCTATGTCAACATTCGTATCCTGCCAAGAACTATATTTTTGTTAAGATATTTGTTAGGTGGACAGAGTTGAAGTAAAAGTCCACTCATACCTTTCACAAATGAGATGTAAACAAAAAAACGCACCTGAAACTCGAACTCTGTTCTCAGTTTACGTTTTTCGTGCCAATAACCACAGCTTTATTTTGATAGATCACTTATCACCGCCGCAATCATCGTGAGCTTAAAAAAAACTATGGAAATAAAATTTATGATCACGTCATTTATTTATGGCCCACTTGGAAGAGTGACAAAAACACGAGAGGCGGAATTAGAAACAATGAAGATTTTGTGAAGTAATATATTTTTCAGCCTCCAGAAACGCTAGTTGATGCCTGTATTCTAAGACTGGCAAGATAAATCTCATAACCAGATATGTTGTATCAATTTGCAAAGCATGGAATAATCATCATGATAAAAATATTGGGTTTGGTAGGATGCTGAAGTGAAGGCGATTTCAGGAGACAGCCTTTTTCATGTGAAAAGGAATTAAATAATTTTATTAAATACCTTTATTTGCCAGCAATAATAATCAAGAAAATATGGATTTTGAATAAGTTTCTATAATCGTAAATATTTTTTAACTCTTATCATACAAGTATTTTTCGCCTTAAGTGTAAATCTATAAACATTCTTGTCTGCATCGGATTTCTTATAACTGGTTTCAAACTTGGAATTGTTCTTTTACAGGTTGATCGTATGTGGGCCATCTGGCAGGATCTCCAGCATTACCGAAAGTTGCCACATGATAAAGCATATTGCGCCTTGGATGAAATGTCCTTCCCTATGAAACCGTTTATCTGGGAATCGAACCCCAATCCAGCAACCCGAGCCGTGTCTACACCCACTAAACTATTTGACTTTAAATCTCTTGGTTACAGTTATGACAACCTGGATTTCCATGGCATGAACACTGCTCAGCTGGAGGCTGCCATTAAGAAACAAAAGCAAAAAGACAGAGTGTTTGCGGGATTTTTGCTGCACGGAATCAAAACATCAGCCGATGTTCATTTGAAGGTGTGTAATGACGCTGATTGTCATGAGGCTGGCGTTGTCTTCATTCTTGGTGGCGAAACAGAAATGCCATGGCATTTTGACCGGAACTACAAGATGGACATAACCGATGTCCTCCAGAAAATGGGTGTCGAACTTGAAACTGTTTTTGATCATGAAAGCAAATTACACCTTGAAGTCCATATCGAATCTGTTGATGGAACTACTCTGGATCCTGGAAGTCTTCCTAAGCCATCTTTGATATACATACCTGCTAAAGGTACTGTAATTTTAACAACTTGCAGAATTTGTGTGTCTATTAATTTAAAAACTTTTTAAATATATTTTGATAATTCTGACGGAATTCTTTATCTCCCTGTTAATATTACTAGTAAAGGCTGAGATCGCTAATTTGAGATTGAGAGAGGAATATTTTAATCTTTTACATTTTATTCTGACTCCTTCATAGTTATATTCTCAGCTGTCTGAGGCTCTGAAAAGAAGGGTTTTCCTTTTTCACTTTTTGGTGAATGTCTTTTTGTTAATGACATGGTTATACATATATATATATATATATATATATATATATATATATATATATATATGTGTGTGTGTGTGTGTGTGTGTGTGTGTGTGTGTGTGTGTGTGTGCGTGTGTGTGTATGTCTGCACTCGCGCGTATGTGTATGTGCGTGAATATGTGAGTTGAAAATATGGATTAAATAAGATAGAGCATACTATTTACATTATTTGGACTATTGTCCTTATCTTTGTTGCCATATTTATCACAACGTTTCAGTCGTTGTACGCTCCGGCCTTCTTCAGGTAGTTGGAATGATAAACCAGGTATTTAATTCTACTGAAGTATGTAAAATGACATGTCTAATGGATGTCAGTTATCAGTTATCTCCTGTTAATTCCCCTCTCCAAGTTCTCTGCCTTAACCAGGTATTGAACTCAGCCTGTCACTTGAATATATCTGTGTGTGAATTTCTTTATAAACCTAATGTCTTCAGCAACCATTTTTTACCAGTGCTCATATTGCAATTTTTGCTGTTATCAAATCATGTTTTTACCAGAGCTCATATTGCAATTTTTGTTGTTAGTATCGCTTTTCTCTGGCACTCCTTATCACTGGTTCCCATACTGTGTTCATTTCTATGCTTGGTCAGCTCAGGAGAATTTTGTGGCCACGCATATGTCCTGATTCCTTAAGTTTACGAATTTTTTCCAATGGTGTTCTTTGTCTATAATCTCAACCTGATCCAACAGAGGGCAGTGATCTCCCTTTTCTCTCTATATGTTGTCAGCCATGCCTGATTTTTCCACTTCCCCTCGTGTTACAGCTTTCTGGTGTTCTTGAAGCCTTACCTTAAGGGGGCGACCTGTCTCTCCTTTATATTTCTTTCTGCAGCTGCACGGGATAGCGTACACACAGTGTTTAGTCATGTTCTCCTCTATGGGGGGGATCTTACTCGGGAGTGTCGTCCAGCTTTTAAAGGTTTTGATGTTTTATGGACCACAGATCCTTTGTATTTTCTCTGATAACACCTTCACATAAGGCAGGCAAACTGTTTTCTAAGTTTTGTTGTCCTAATTTTTTTAACCGCCTATCCCAGTTTATTGGTTTCTGCCATGTACCCAGGGTAGTTTTTACGTTATAGGACTATTTGAAGAAGACCAATTATTTTTATCTAATTCTCTCGGTCGCCACTTATGGATGTATTGAACCCATGATCTCTATTTTAAAATGTTAGAACATCCAGGAATGGGAATGTGTTGCGACGCTTCTTTCTCCATCGTGAACTGTATCGAAGGTCTTATTTGAGTTCAATGGTCCAGTAGAACCTGAACATCAAACCTCTTTGTGATGAAATTATGAAGGTGTCATCTATGTACCTTAACCATAGAGTTGGCTTTAGAGATATAGATTCTAATGCTGTTTCCTCAAAAAGTATTCCATGTATATATTCGCCAATTTTGGTGACAATAGCGAGCCCATTGCTAAGTCCTCATCCTGTCAAAATATGTGTGATCCCATTCCGAAGTGTTTTGTTTTGTATGTAAAAGTTAACATTTCCATCAGATTTTCTATTGGAATACTGGCCTGTTTTATTCAAAGGGATGAGTCAGAGGCCAATCTTTTTTTTACTGAGAGCGCCTCCTCAGTGGGTACCTTGTTTGAACAAACTCACCACGTCCACAGGCTCTGGCACACATACATACTTTTACATTCCACACACATAACATTTTACACATACACACACACACACACACACACACACACACATATATATATATATATATATATATATATATATATATATATATATAATTAATAAACAGTAAAATCTAATTTCACCTATTTCAGCGGACGATGATATCGGTCGTCTGTCTTATCAACCCCGGTGTGGACTGAGTTCCTGTCAGAAATAGAAATTTAACTGTGAAAGCTAAAAAAAAAAAAAACTGTCGAGAAACTGATACAGAATTTATCTATTTCAATGTTTCAATCAGACGAAAGGCACGAGGCAGGGGTCAGGATAGTTTTCACAGTTAAATTTCTGTTTCTAACACGAACTTAGTCCACGACTGATATATTTGTCATACGGGGTGACTTTGGATTTTATTGTTTATTAATTATTCGCTCTGTAAAAATAAATAGGATTTTAAATTGTTCTTGTGGAAAAGGTTTAATATTTTATATTAAACGATCCACTTGGATTATATACCAACGGGTTTTTGTTATCTTTATTATTATAATTATTATTATATTCTAAATTATATATATATATATATATATATATATATATATATATATATATAAATGACTAATTAAAAAAAGCGTGAATTTTTAATTCATGTATTGCCAGATATGAAGCAAGTAGCAAACTGCGAGACAGTGACCTATAATGGAGCAAATAAACATTTTGCCATTTAGAATTCAAGATGAAATTCACAGTATCCCAGCTGAGATGTTGCAGCAATCAATGAGGAATATCAACAGCATTTTCAAGAATGCATTAGATACAAAGGAGGACGCCATCTACAATACGTAATTTTTAAAAATGAAAATTCCATCATTGTTTCTTAAACGGCATGTTTTAAGGTTTCAAAAACTATGACTCTTGGTTTTATTGGATTGTTAAAAAGTCTGGGATTTTTTTGGGGTCATGAGTATATATATATATATATATATATATATATATATATATATATATCAACAATCAAATCGTCAGGTGCCGACTGAAAATCAGATCCTGAACTATATTATTGTTAATTTTACCGAAAACGAAAATATGTATATTTATTGCCCGGTAGATGGTTAGTGTCAATCAATCAATAGGCGCCGGATTAAATATATATGATTCCAAAAAAAAAAAAATTGATGATGGAACAGAGCTACTTTAATCAATGTAATTCAAATAATTATATTAAAAATTTTTCATTCTTGTTTTGAAACATGAAGGACCTCTTATGTAGAATTTTAAATAAATAATATATATAATATATATATATATATATATATATATATATATATATATATAAATATATTATTAATAAAAAATTTTATTCTGATAAAAAAAATATTCTGGCTTTTTTTAAGAACGAAAAGTTCATAAAAAGAAACCGTACGTCGAAGGAATTTTGATCAAGAAAGAATATAAATACTTTGACCCAATCGGAAATGAAGAACCTGAGGGAGTATTTTGGCTGCTGTCCCGGTTTGAGACACGAAAAAAAACTGGTTATCAAAAAATCGCCGCTTATCACGGAATAGTATTTAGCTGCCACTATCCGAACGATACCGAAACTTTTGCCTGTTGCCACCACGATATGGTCATTTTACATCACATTGTTTGGCACAGACTTTATATGAAACAAATGGAAGAAATTTTTAAGGATGATTATTCGAGAATAGGTATTCCATATTGGGACTGGACAACAGTTATTTCTAGCTTACCAAAACTGGTGACAGATTTTATGAGAACAACCCTTCCATCATGCTTATATCGAATAGAAAATGACACGAAAACAACCAGAGATCCTCGACCGCAATTGTTTGATGATCCAGAACAAGGAGACGAGTCGTTCTTCACCGTCAAATCGCCTTCGCCCTCGAACAGAGAGATTTCTGCGATTTTGAAATTCAGTTCGAGATGGGCCACAATGCCATTCAACCATGGGTTGGTGGCTACTAGAATTATTCAGAATGTCAACACTTCACTATTTGTCATACGACCCAAAGTTTTCTATCTACACCATTACAATACAGATCGTATTCTGGGCCATTTGGCAGGCTCTGCAAAGAAATACCGTGGTTTACCTTATTTAGTATATGAATTATGATAATCAACAAATTTGAAGAAAACCAATGATGCCGTTTAGCTTTGATGACAACCCTTCTTGCTTCTTCCTTTCACAAAAGCTCACTCAATGGTTCAAAAAATCGAATTCACAAATAAGTTATGACTCATGACAATTTGAATTTCCATGGCATGACCATTCCTAAGTTGGAAGTTTGAATAAAATTCAAAAAAAAGACAGTTTGTTTGCTGGAAATTTCCGAGCCATCGGTCAATCAGCTGATGTTAACCAACTTCGACATTTGTCGCAAGGACGGAGAATGTAAATTTGGTGGCACCTTCTGTGTTTTGGGAGGCAAACATGGAATTTTCTATTTGGGCATTTGACGACATTCTTGTACGACATTTCCAGGAGTTCAATAACACAACTTAGACTTGAATGATTTATGAAAACGATGACTTTGATGTTATCTATATGTTTCGGTGACTGACAACCTTGGGTATTGATGGCAAATTTACCATCCATGGGGATTTCCACCACCGACCATTCTCTTCAAACCCGGAACAGGTAAGATTTCATTTTTTCAGTTGATATATTATCATAAACATTAAACGGATGGTTGAAACTGTAAAAGAAAGTAATTTTCTTTTAAAATTAAAAGCCGAACCTCTTCACTGAATATCTACAACGATACATGTTTTGTTTTTATAGCTTAGTCTGGTACACAGAAATAAGTTTGGAGCACTCATGTTTAATCGACATTACAGCAATATTAATATTCTAATAGAGCCTAAAATCTCTCTCTCTATTTATATATATAGACGGCAATAAGTTTATATATATTTTTTATATAATTGAAATTACGGCAATATTAATGTTCTACTAGAGCAGGCTTGCTTGTCACTAGCCCAAGGTGAAGCTTTTATTAGCTTAGACAGGCACATATAGCTTAATCAAGCACAAGGCAGTAAGTTGGCAATGATAATGATCTATTGGGAAATGTTTATTATATATATATTATATACGGTCAATATATATATATCTTTAGTTTAGTTTGGTATATATGTATATATGCAGTTGCAGGGTGTGGGTTGAAGTTAATATACCATTTATCTTGTAAAACACTCCACAGAGAAGTAAACTAAATTATATTTATTAGTTTAAGATTTTTTGTGTAATGAGGAGGTTATATATAGAATATAGCCAATATCGATATATATATATATATATACATCAGCGACATGTTTGCTGACTTGGTGACGTCCTACGATAACCTGATGACTACTCTACCAGAGTCATTTACCTGTTCGTATTATCAGTGTGTTGGACATTGTTGGAGAATTAAGGTTTCATTTTAAATTCTCAGTGTGTTGGACATAAAGAATTAGGCTTTATTTATAAATTCTCAGAGAGTTGAAAATCGAGAATTAAGCGTTAATCATAAATTCTCAATGTGCTGGACATTGAGAAATAACCTTGAATTATATCAGGTCATCCCATAAGTCCTGTCCGAATTTTAACTTTTAATTTAAAGCGTATTTTATAATGTCTAATGGAGCTGAATATTATTTTTATGTTTAGATGCATTTAAACTGATCAAATTTTATTTCAGAGAACAATAAAATTAAATTTTGTTTGATTAAAACCCTGCTAACATGGAAGTACCCAAGAATCATTTGAAGCACATAATGCTTTACGAGTTCAAGAAAGGAAACTCAGCAGCCGAAGCGGCTAGAAACATTCACTCAGTTTATGGAGAGGAATGCGTGAATGAAAGAACTTGCAGAAGATGGTTTGCAAAATTCAAAGGTGGAGATTTCACCCTTGAAGATGAAGATCGAACCGGACGTCCAGTTGAGTTTGATGAAAAGCTTCTTGAAGCAGCCCTTGAAGAAAATCCTGCTTTATCAGTTGAGGAATTGGCAGTGGTTCTCAGTTCAAACCATACAACTGTTCATCGTCATCTTCAACAACTTGGAAAAGTTCCTAAACTTGGAAAATGGATGCCTCATGAATTGTCTGAAAACAACCTCAAATCCCGAGTTGACATCTGCTCTTCTCTCCATTCTCGCCAACTTGTTTCACCTTTTTTGGATAGACTTGTGACTGGCGACGAAAAATGGATCTTTTATCGAAATGTTAAGCGTCGTAGACAGTGGCTTGGTAAAGGGGAAGGACCCCAGCCACAGCCGAGAAGGGAACTTCATGGGCAAAAGGTTCTTCTTTCAATCTGGTGGGATCGCCAAGGAATAATCCACTTTGAATTCTTACCACCTAATGCAACAATTAATGCTCAAATATACTGTCAGCAATTAGAGCGTTTGAACCAAGCTTTGAGGAAAAAAAAGACCTGCTCTAGTGAATTGAAAAGAGGTGATGTTTCATCAGGACAATGCGCGACCCCACACAGCAAGAATCACGTCACAAAAGATCGAAGAACTTGGTTGGGAGAAAATTCCTCATCCACCTTATTCTCCCGATCTTGCTCCTTCAGACTACCATTTGTTTCGTAGCTTACAGAATCATTTGGAAGAAACAGCTTTTGTAACACAAGAAGAGGTTAAAACTGACATTTGTGAGTTCTTCGAATCAAAGCAAAAAAGAATTTTACAGTAATGGAATTAGTAAGCTTGTTAATAGATGGAAGGAAGTCATAGATAATCAGGGAAAATACATTGTTGATTGAATCTGTAATTAAATGTAACATTTGCTCACTTGTTTTCTTTATTCAAAATTCGGACAGAACTTATGGGATGACCTGATGCATTCACAAGTCGTTATTTATCGAGAAATAATTTTAATTAAAAATTCTACTCATTCACTGGTTTAGGTGCTTGAATACTTGACTAGATAATTATCAGTCGCAAACATTATATACACTGGAGTACTAAGCTCCATATCTGATGATAAACCTGAAACTATGTTAACCTTCAGGATAGGCCATATTTTATACAACTGGGAATATATCATATAACTTACAGAAATACCATTTGACTGTTAGTTGTAAGCCATAAAAAGACAACTAAACTAAAGGTCTCGCCATGGCAGGAAGTTGGTTGCGTGGAGCATAAAGTGTTGCAATTCAATGTACATTATTATTTTTTTTTATATACGAGAATTCATTCAATACATAGCTTGGTTTAAAACTATCGGAAGAGAGAAATATAGTTTTTAAAATGGTAACGATGAATGAGGTGTGAAATATGAATCAAAAAAGGTGACAGTAGAAAGTGAAGATTATGTGGATGGGGAGAATAGATAACGATAAACTCTTGAAGAAGTTATGATGATAATGTTCAGACGTAGGAGCCGTTTCAAAATGACACAAAATGGGAAAACTGATTGAATCTTCTTACATTTGGAACACAGTGGAAATGAGAATGATTCAACTCTGTGGAAGGCGAATTTTATTGTGAAGGCCTGAACTAGTGGAATTAGAGAATGCACAATAAATTCATCTTAACATTTACCGAGAAAATATTAAGAAACAGAAAAATCCAATAGAAACAAAGAAAATAGTACTGAACTCTTACGTAATATCAGTCCTCTTATGTGACACTGAATTGGACAATTTCCTCACGGATGAAAAGAGACTTGAAGGTAATAAAAATTGGTTCTACAGATGGATGCTGAAAAAAACATCACGGGATACCATTTCGTAGACAATGAAAAACAAGAAGGACACATACTTAATATTAGAAAAGAGGCAGATGAAAAAATTAGGGCACATAATGAGGAAATGGGCTTAGAAAATTTGATAATCTTATGACAGATTGAAAAATAAAATTGGGCCAGAGGAAAACAACGCATAACATAACCCAGTGAGCTTTGATATAAATGAATGACGGATCATATATTTAAGATTGATAACGAAAAGACAAAATTTATTAAGATTACATATATATAAACGAAAACATGGTGAATACCAAAAATTGATACATTATTCCCCGCCTTTTGCATCTGTTAACGAAATACAGCAAGGGATGTAGGCGAGTTTAACTGAAAGATTGAAGCATCGTACAGTTACGTTCCATATCTTCCCACTAGAGAACAAGTTTGGAGACTGTACAGGCGAGGATTGATTTTTAAAAATTATTTCGTCCCAAGCAAGGCAATAGAGCCACTAAGACATAAGGGGATTACTGAGTGTGAAAAAATAACAAAAAAGAAAAATCATTATTAAGGAACGAAAACAATAAAAGAAGAGGAATAAAGACGACAGTAGATAACGATTGACATTGCATTTCAATTTTTAAAGATCAAAGTTGACTGGAAAGCAAAAAGCCGGAAGAGAGTTACACAGGTAAAAAGAAATTTAAGCAAAGAACTTACGGTTACATGTAGCCAATTCAATAGTAAAACAAATGAGGTCTAGCTGCCAATCTAGTACTGCATTTAAATTCATAAAATCTAGGTGTCATAGAGCAAAGTTCTTCTGAACAATTATCATGAAAGTATTTATAAAAAAGACACAGAGAAGCTACATTACGGTGGTTGAAAAAAAGAAACTGAAAGGGTTGTCAAGTCAGGAGCAATAAAATTGCTTATTCTTCTTAAAATTTTTTTCAAGAATCTCTAAATATATAGCGGGAGCACCGGACAATATGCAGCGGCAATATTCAAAGCATGGACGAATGGTAGACTATAAATATGTAAGATAGACCCTGGAGAGAAAAATTGTCTAGCACGACACAGTGAACCAAATCGTCCTAGCAGCAGACCTAGCAATTGATTCAATATAATTTTTCCACTTCATATCAGCAGAGAATGTCAGTAAAAAAAAAGCGCGCAATGAGTCACTCTCCTGGAGGTTAGCATCAGCTATGCTGATAGAAGACGAAAAATTTTCATTCTCAGAGAATGGTTTTTCCTTTTTGGGAAGCGTTAAAATTAA